GGTGTAATTCTGGGAGCCCAAGAGCAGTGTAGAAAACACTCCTTGAGTTTAGAGCGTTTTGTGGTCCCAGTCAGCTCAAATTCACAGCCCACTCCTGAGAGGTAAGTAGTTGGCAAATATCTGTATTATTTATAACTCTTGTGGAACAGTGATTAAGATTTCCATCTCGGCAAGTCTATGAGTAAAGGCCTATCAGTAGCTGGTTCTTTGACCAAAATTGGATGCCGTTGGACTGACTTGGTTTACTTGTTTAGCTAAGCTCAGTGTATCATGTCTCCTGCTTGCCCATGTGCATTCCGGGCAAGTAGGCCATATTCAATTAAAGGGGCCCTCTAGGAACCTAAGTGACAGTGGATGAAAGTGAGACCACAGCCAGCCAGGGGCTCAAGGTAGGCCCAAGTGGTGACAACCCTGTGAGTCTTACTCCCTCAGCTCCTTAGTGGCCACTGAGTGCCTGCAGGGTCACTCTCATGCCTGGCAGAGTCCTGGCAAGGGGGTAAGAGAAGGTGGTAGATGACAGAGGCATTACAGAAGCCAGTGTTTTCAAATCCACGTTTATAAGCAGATTTCCTGACGTTAGATTCAGAATTTTAAAAAACAAAACAAACAAACAAAAAAACATGTTTTGTGCTAAGGATCAAACCCAGAGCATCACCCCTGTGTGCCACGTGCTCTGGCACTGCACTGCAATTCCCAGCTTGGCATTACTGAGTTAAGTCGTATGAGGCCCAGGATTCGGCATTTTTCAAAAAGTCTGTATGTAACTTTGACATGCAGGGGGTAGGAGGTGGAGTCCACCCACTAGTTATGACATCTGGTACCAGGAAGCGGTGAAGATAAGACAATGGACAGGAAATAACATTTTCCTTGAAATATCTTCATTATGAGAAAGTGCAGTGCTCACTAGGTGCCTTCAGACCTGCTCACTTGGGCCTGCCCCTCCAGGTGGTGATGAAGGAGACATTTCCTGAAAGAGGGCACTGGAGCCGTGAGCACATCTCCCAGGTCCCTTGTCCACGACTCTTAGTACGCTCCTGGCCTCAGGATCCTGACATGTCCATAGGCCATGAATGTGCTCTTTCTGATTGCTGCTGAGTGTTGCGTGCTTACGTGTGTGAGTGTGTGAGTGTATGTGTGTGCAAGTCTGTATGTGTATGTGTATACACTATGTGTATATATCTATGTGTCTATGTGTCTGTATGTGTATGCACTATGCATACATATCTATATGTATGTTTGTGTGTATATATGTGCATGTGTGTACATGTTTGTATATGTGTGCATGTGGGGGGGCAGGATTTTGAAGGACATGGGGATATGGTAGTGCCCCAGGCCTGGGCTGCTCTGAACACCTGAGTAAGGCAGTGGCCTGAGTGGCTATTACCCTCCTCCACTGCAGCTCCCTAGAATGGCCCAAATGTTGGAGGGACCTTCGTGAAGCAGCCTCAGCCTTGGAGATGTGGTCCCTAGGGCCTGGTTAGTCCCAGTGGGAAAACAAATGCTCTGAGGCTGTGCTACCTGCACGCAACTTCAGAGCCAAGCACATCCCTGCCGGGCACCTCCTGATCTGCTGGGCTTCTTCCAGGGGCACAGCTTCATCCCTGTACAACCAGCCAGCCCGAGAGACAGAGACACCACACAGACACACAACTCAACACAGCCTCTCTGAGGGTCATGGGTGAGGTCTTGTGTGATGATGTTGGGTACAGGGCTACAAATGGCAGACATTTTCTGGCGAATGTGTTTGACTTCACCACTTGAGGACAGAAAGTGATGTGGCCCCTGAGATGGAAAGACCAAGTCCCCCAGCCACACCACCCTTGCTTCATGCAGCCTCTTAGCAGAGACCGGGCACTCCTGGCTGTAAGGGTTTGGGCTTAGGGGCAGATGTTGCTGAGAAAAAAGGAAGCAATAGGGCTTAGGACTCAGTGACTCCTAAACTGAGGGTGTGTACCTCCAGAGGCATTGGAGATGAGCCCCGCAGTGGACGGGGAGTACTGAAGTTCTTATTGTAGTGTCCTTTTGAAGTGATGGAACTTATGTCAACCTGTCTTTGTGACGTGTTTGAAAAGAAAGAGATTGTCGGTGTGTCAGTAATTTAGGAATAATTGAATGGCTGAGAGATGGCAGGGACATGTGCTCCATTACTTTTCTTGTTTCACGTCCGATGCCTATTAACTCAGAGACTCAGAGACTATTATACAAGGGATTCTTTTTTAAAAATTTCTTTTATTTAAAAAAATTTTTTTAGTTAAAAACCATGAGGTACAGTTGTGGACTTACAAATTTTTGTGCTTGAGTTTCAGTTATACAATGATAGAGTACCCATTCCTCCACCAGTGCCCATTCTCCACCAACAATGATCCCAGTATCCCTCCCCCACCCATCCCACCCATCCCACCCATCCCACCCCGCCTCTGTGACAGGTCATTCCCTTTTGTTCTCTCTCTCCTTTTGGCTGTTGTGGTTTACAAAGAGGTATTAAGTGGCAATCATGTTCGGTCTATAGTCTACTTTCAGCAAGCATCTCCCATCCTGGGTGGATCTTCCCAACACCCTTTACTTGGTGTTCCCTTCTCTATCTTAGCTGCCCCCCCCCCCCCACTCCAGCATGTGTGCTGGCCTCCAAGCCATGGAGCGAAACTCCTGGTACTTATCTCGACTATTCTTGGGCGTTAGTCTTCTGTTTTGTTACTTTATATTCCCCAGATGAATGCAATCTTTCTATGTCTGTCCTTCTCTTTCTAACTCATTTCGCTTAGCATGATACTTTCCATGTAGTACCACTTGTATGTAAATTTCATGACTTCATCTTTTCTAATAGCTAAATAGTATTCCATTGTGTAGATGTACTAAAGTTTCTTTAACCAGTCATTGGTTCTCGGGCACTCAAGTTTTTTCCAGATTTTGGCTATTGTGAACAGTGCAGCAATGAACATAGAAGTGCAGATGCTATTTCGACTATACTTTTTTTTTTTGTCTCTCTGGGATATATTCCCAAGAGTGATATTCCTGGGTCAAATGGGAGCTCAATTTCTAATTTCTTGAGAATTGTCCATACTGTTTTCCAAAAGGGCTGAACCAGTCAGCATTCCCACCAGAAGTGAAGGAGGGTCCCTTTCTCCCCACAACTGCACCAACACTGGTTGCTTTTGTTCTTTTGGATGTGGGCCAGTCTCTGTGGTGTGAGATGATATCTCATTGTTGTTTTGCTCTGCATCTCCTTGATGATTAGTGATGTAGAGCATTTTCTCATGTGCCTTGTAGCCATTCGGATTTCCATAGAAGGGATTCTTAAAAAAGCATGGCTGAAATTATGGACTCTAGAATCTAGGCTGGAAGGGGATTCAACAGCTGCAAGGGAATTGAGAGAAAGAGAGAAAATGAGAAGAATCGGGATAAAGCAGTGTGGCAGTGTGTGTGTGTGGGGGGGGGGGTGGAGTTTCAAGGCAGGTGGGTGGACTGAAAGGAACAGAATGTGGAGTTTAGGAGAACAGACTGGGGATCAGGGAATAGGGTGAAGATAGGAATGACCTTAGGCAGACAAAGGTAGGTGGCTTCAAAGCTAAACTTCTATGTAGGGGAAATGGCCAAGACACTGTGTCATCCACGTGGATATTCCAGGGCCGAGTTGATGGTAAGCTCTAGGATAGGAAAGAATACGGGACATTAAGTGGACAGTGGGAAGCATGGAGTAATGGTGGAAGCCAAGTGGCAGAAAGGAGAGATGGTAAAAAAAAAGAAGTGGAACAATAACTGGAGGTATGGTGCAGCAGTTAAGGGGCTTGCTTTACATGTGGCTGCCCCCTCCCCATCTGGTCCTTGGCACCCCTGAGCCTCACTAGGAGTGATCCTTGAGTACAAAGCTAGGAGTAAGTCCTGAGCACCGCAGGGTGTGGCCCAACACCCTCCCCCAAAAGAAAAGGAAGGAAGGAAGGAAGGAAGGAAGGAAGGAAGGAAGGAAGGAAGGAAGACAGCTTCTCCAAGGGATAAGCAGGATCTGGATCCTATCTTCTAGCCTAGGGAATCTGGAAGGAGTAAAATGGCGTGGGCATGAGGAAGGTTCTGAAGGAGAGACAAAGAAGATGCCCTCCCTCTCCTGGCTAACGTTGGTGGGCCACTCACCATGGAAGAGATTCCAGCAGGTGCTGGGCGAACTCAAGCACGGGGGACATAGTGGGAGGAGGTGACAGCGGAGATGAGATCAGGCTGGGGTGGGTCTGTGAGAGAAGGAAGACAACCCGCCCTCAGGCTTCCAAGTGCACTTTCTGAAATAGTTGGCTTTCAGAAAAGTAATAAAAAGAAACATGCACTAGTCTTTGTCTTCAGATTCAAAAATGCAAAATGTATTTTGTGTGGGCAAAGACAACGTCGGCTTTTAACCACCGTGTACCTTGTCAACCGAAGCCCATATGACTGAACCCTAGAATGTTTTCTTTTGTTCCAAGTGCCTTCTCTGAGGTTGTTGGTGAGAACACAGCTCTGAACTTCCTCTAACAGTTCATTATGGGTAATAACAGGCTATTTTGGGAATTAGAACATGTCACCTCCACCTGCCCCACCCAAGCCAGGGGCCTCCTCCTCTCCTGGATTTTTGTGACAAGCGTACATGGTAGCAATGACGTGGTTTTCACTTCTCCTGTGGCACCCTCAGGCCTTGCCCACTCAGGCCCCATCTCTGAGCAGTGTCACAAACAGCTTCGGAAGGGTTTTCTGCCAGTCTTCTCAAGGTCCTTGCAGACATTTAGAATATGTTCAGGGACAATTGATCAGTTTTTCCCCCTTTGTTGGTGGAAATTAGTGAGTCCAAAGTTGGAATACACTGAAACCACACCCCACCACCTCTTAGAAAGATAGATTCTTCCGAAACCTTTGGAGCACCATTGAGGCATCTGGAAGTTTCCATTCACTCCGCCACACTGATCCACCAGCCTCCAGCATGGCTGTCTCATCTAAATTTTTGCCATATGTTCATCCAATTCTCCCTTCTCACACTCCTGGGCAACAACCTTTCTTAATTACATATTTCCGTTTGTGACTCATCACCTTCCCTGTTCAAGAGCTTGCAGTTACCTCTGTTTCTGTCAGTGACTTCTGCTTTTCTATGGCTGAGCATTTTCAAGATTTAGGGTCACCCCCCTCCTCTCCAAACACCTGCAATAGGAGTGTAAAAAATGAGTCAATTCCAGTGTACAGGTTTTCTTTATTATCTTAGACTTATTCATTATACATTATGCAGGTGTTTCGATGAGAATCCAGAAACATCTTGAGACATTGCATTTCTGTGAAATGTGAGAATTTAAGACCATATTCCAGGACAAGTCTTATGCATAGAGATTTGTATTGCATTCATTTTCATTTTTCATTGATGTCTCAGAACTCTGACAATTAGCAACACCTTCCTCTTGCAGATGAGATTATAGAATCCAGAGAAAAATTCATCTAAAGTCACATACTTTGTAGGTGGTGGGCCCAGAACTAGACCCCAGATATCAACTCCAAGTCCATTGTTCTCTCTAGCAGATCATTCTGCTGCACATTTGGAAACAAATCAAATGATAAAAATTATTCCTCATCTTTCCAGTAGAGTGTGCGGGGTTATAGCCGGAAGGAACCCCTTTTTGTATCTAATTCAATCCTCACTTTTCTAGACATTCAGTAGATGTATCTAGTTAGGAAACATGCAAATTACACAACTGTATACCTATAAATATTATCCCTAGAAAGAAAAGGAACATTTGGTAAATGTACCAAAAAATGTAAGAAAAAAATTGCATGCTATCTTTGTCTCGGGCCATGTTACTTCCCTGTATTATTTCAAATTTAGTGTATGTGGTTCCAAGCAATCTCCAGAATGTTTTAAAGTGAGTATACTATAGTAGCAAAAACCAAAATGTGGGGCTGGAGAGATAGTACAGAGGATGGGGGCTTGCCTTGTGTGCAGTCAAACCCTGTTTGATCCCTGGCTCCACGGATGGTCCCCTGAGCTGTGCCAGGAGTGATCCCTGAACCCAGAGCCAGGAGTAAGCCCTTAGCACCACCAGGTGTGATCCTATCACACCCCACTCTAAAGAAAAAATTAAAATACTGAAGTATATCACAGGCAAAAAATTTTAGGTGGGGTTTTTTTTTGGGGGGGGTGGGACTTTTTTGTTCATTGCATATACATCACGGTCACGGTCACGGTCCTCCCATTGTTCATCGATTTGCTCGAGCGGACCCAGTAACGTCTCCATCATGAGACTTGTTGTTACCGTGTTTGGCTTATTGAGTACGTCACAGGGAGCTTGCCAGGCTCTGCCGTCGAGATACTCTCAGTGGCTTGCCGGGCTCTCCGAGAGGGGCGGAGGAATTGAACTCGAGTTGACCATGTTGGCTGCGTGCAAGGCAAACGCCCTACCGCTGTGCAGTAGGCAGCGCATCAGTGCATATACATATATATGTATATATATATACACTATATATATATATATATATCATTGGGCTGGAGCGATAGCACAGCGGTAGGGTGCTTGCCTTGCACGCAGCCAACATGGCCCACCCGAGTTCGATTCCTCCGCCCCTCTCGGAGAGCCCAGCAAGCTGCCGAGAGTATCTCGCCCGCACGGCAGAGCCTGGCAAACCCGTGACGTATTCGATATGCCAAACACAGTAACAACAAAATCTCCAATGGAGACGGTTACTGGGCCCGCTCGAGCAAATCTATGAACAACGGGAGGGCCTTTACCTTTACCTTTATATATATCATGATCTAACATTTCTTTCTTACTCTAGACTGTGCTAGCAAACTTTAGAAAACCACCACAATAGAGAAACTGCATTGGAAAGTAGGTTCGAATACTTGATTATAGTTCTTGCTCTGCCAATGACCATTTGTATAAACTTAGTTAAAGAATTTGGCCCTCAAGAGTCTCTATTACCTTACTTTTTGGGGAAAGAGCAGGTCAGACATAGAGGAAGAAATTCCTTCCTCTAGAACTATGTTATTCTGGTGATTTCTTCATAGCATGGATAAAATCCAAAAGTCTCCAGGTGAGGAGATAGGGGAGGGGCAGGAGTGAGGAGCAAGCCTGGGCCAGGGAGTCTGCAACATTGGCTTGCAGCTGCTGCCGCTCTGGTGCTCACTCTTACTGCTTGTCATCATCTTGGTAGCACTGAGAGCTGCTGCTGTCACAAGGGTGTGAATGATGATCGTGGTTACATCCAAGTTGGAGCCTATGGACAGCAGTGGCTGCCAAACACACACACCTGGTCCCACACTTGGCACTATGAAGGGCTCGGAAGCACTTCCTGGTGACAAACATGATAGATATTCCGAGTGGGAAGCAAAGGCAAGGCAACTGGAATAGAAGTTGAAATTTAAGAACCCTATTTCCTCTACAATCGAAGTGGCCCTAGAGTAGAAAAGCTTTTTCCAGGAAAAAAATAAAGGAGTGGAGCAGTTCCAGAAAACATGCAAGGGGGAAAGGCTCAGACTCTTTTTATGGTATGGACTAGAACAGTTTTCTTTAAAGAACAGGCACCCACTATCATTTTTAACTCAATTGATAAATAAGATGATAAAGTTAGTTTCGTAGTGGAGAAACATCTGAGCAGTCTTGCTTCCAATGAATGTATATTGGAGATGTTTTGGACGCTGGTATGTTTAAATGCATGCACCCACATTTGTGTGCACACTCACACACATGCATGGCACACAGAGGAGAGCTGATAAATGCATTGTAGCACTGTAGCACTGTCCTCCTGTTGCTTATGGATTTGCTTGAGCGGGCCCAGTAACATCTCCATTGTGAGACTTGTTTCTGTGTTTGGCATATCAAATACATCACAGAGAGCTTGCCAGGCTTTGCCGTGTGGGCGAGATCCTCTCGGTAGCTTGCCGGGCTCTCCCAGAGGGGCGGAGGAATAGAACCTGGGTTGGCCGGGTTGGCCACGTGCAAGGCAAATGCCTTACCTGTTGTGCTATCGCTCCAGCCCAATAAATGCATTACATGCACAAATTATTACTTATGAAACACCATGAGGTATGGCAAGAAATTATATACATATGCATATATATATATATATCTGTGTGATATGCATGCACAGGAAGGAATAGAAGCAGTAGTTTTCCTTCCTTGAGAGGAAACAGTGTCAGAAAATGTTTTGCCTTTGAAGAACAAAAAGACAAAGATGTTCCAACAATGGAAGCTTATAGTTTTGTACTTGGAAATAGCTCATGGATGAGACAATCATCTTCCTCAGTCTGTAACGTTTTAGCACACTTCAACTTAGTGTCACCTGCTATTGTGACAAAGTCTAGCAAGCTATGTGTGGGAACTTGAAAAGCACCTGGTTAACAATAGCCTTGTGATCTAGGAAGCCGACTAAAAGTGGCTATGGTTGTCAGATAATTGTGTACTTTTGAAGAAATAAAATTAATAATGTGCTTGTAGAGGGCACTGAGCTGATAGCTCTGCACCCACGTCTGTGCCATCCAGATGCATCGTGGGTCTAATGATGGAGATGATTCCATCAGCTCCACCACTGAGCCTTCCAGTCCCTCATCAGGAGAAAACACAGCCTGGTTTGGTTAGGCTACAGCATGGCCTTGGTTGTGTGGGAGGCACTGCTGGATAGACTCGCGTGGGAGGAAACACGCTGGTTGGACTCACTGCATGTAAGTGCCTGGGAGGGTGAACATTTCATGACCTTTCTAGTCATGACCCAACTGTGGCTCATGAAACCCAGGAGTCTTGTGTCGATGAAGCAACATCTTCAGTTACTTTGTTGACTTCCAATGACCCCAAACAAAATAGAACAAACTCCCAACCCCAAACCAAATAAAAAATAACTCCAAAGTTCCTACGACAGGGGAAAAAAACAATCTCCAGCCCATTCTAACCAACTGACCGTTATTTTTGGCTGTGGGCTGGCTCGGCACGATGCTCTTTGGCTGCTCTATTACTGTGCAGTCGTCTGACTGGAATTTTTTGTGAGCCAGGAAAGGGGTAGTTATATTTGGCCTCTGGAAGGGAAGTTGCTGAGATAGAGAGGCAGCTTTGGGTCACAGGGTTTGAGCCCATGTCAGTAGGAGGGGAAGCAACTCCAGCAGAGGAAGCGGGAGGGGACAGCCCAGATGAAGCTTTTGGCAGGGTGGAAGAGAAAGCCTGGGGGTGAACACACCAGGGTACCATGGGAGGAGGAGGTGCTGTCATCAGGGAGAATGTCTGCCTCTGCTGAGATGGCCTCAGCTCCAGTTTCCACAACAGCTCTCATGCATCCATTTGCTTTGATTCAGCCCATTGTACTCAGTATAGGATTTCTCCTGGTGTTGCCTTTGTAGAAGTTTCTATAGTGTTCTTTGCTGGTTATTTGCAGGTCCCATGGTTTCTGCTAGATTCTAAGTGTTTCACTTTACCTTTATGACCTACAGACCACCTACACCGAAGGACATTTTAAAAATCAAACATGCACTCAGTTGCCCCCTCCTTTAAGCTCTGTTAATAAAATAAACAATTAACTCTTGGGTGGTATTATAGAAAGAATGACACTTGGGTCATGATAGAAAAACAAGATTTGTTTATGAGTATACTACAAAAATATGCATTTTGTAAGGCTCATTGATTTATTTCCGATTCAAGAAAGCACATAGACACACAAAATGGTTCATTAGATATTCATTATACCTTCTGAGCTGCTTTTATTAGGAGTGCCCACCATGCCCATGGCAAAGTTGATGTTTTCAAGGATTGAATCAATGCTTGAAACTCATCAATTTCATATAGGCAGCTTTGGTTTAAGGTATTTTGATGATTTTATAGAAATGTTTTATCCCATTAAAAAGCTATAACTTAAACTATGGTGCAAGGCAGGCACACATTAGATGATAAATGGCTTTGTGTAAGAGATTTCAAATTTGTCAAATCTGCATTAAGGAACTATATTTGAAATTGGTTAGAAGGTTGGGTGAATTCTCCAGGTGAAAATGACATTTGTTTTATGGATTCCCCTGAAACAATTCCTCCAGAGTTTTCATTTGAATAAATCACACCCAAATTCAGCACTCCAGAAATAGCTAACACAGTTGAGTTGCATTAGCTGCTTTGCTCGTTCCTCTTAGGCAAAAGGATTTGATTCCCTTATGTACAAAGAAAATAAGACTAGATGACCAA